AGGCAGGCCGAGTACATCACAGAGGAGAGAGGGAAAATGAGAGGAAGGCAGTGAATGAAAGCGAAGGGTAAGGGAGAGGTGATCAGACACAGCAGCAAGTGAGTGTGCTGAATGGGGAGAAAGATGGGAGAAGAAGACAGAGAAAGTGGGTAGGGCGGGGGGTTGAAACATGAAGATGAATGAGAAGGGGAGGGTAAGTAAAAAAAAAAACAGGGGGAGAGAGGGAAGACATAGATGAGAATTGGATGGCAGTGGGAGAAAACGCAGGGAAACCAGGGAGACTTCGAGATGAACCAAGAGAGGGGGAACACAGTGGGTGGAGGGGGGGGGGCATATAGGAGGAAAGGAGAAGGAGGTCATCAGCATTCTGTTTCTGCTCGCTTTTGTCAGCTCCTTTTTGAAATATTCAAGGGTGAAATACATACATGGAGTGTGTTTCTGAACTCCCGGCCACTGTGAGGCAAGCGGGGAGCACATGTCTGGCCGCACGCTTAACAGCAAACGAGTGGTGAACAAGACGGAGGGCGAGGAAGGGTGGTGCTTGTGCAAAGCACAACGCCCCTGCAGCATGTTCAACAGTGACTTACTGTTAGGGTGCAAGAGAGTTCATTGTAGAATCAGTCATCATTTCAAAAGTATTACAGCTAAAGTGATGATTTTTACATTTACAGCACATAGAGAATGATCGTGAGAGCACACAAGTGATGTCTACTGCTGCTGGCCATTGTGATAAAGCTGCCAGAGATGATGAAGATCAAGAGCACAGTTGCTAATACCAATGGTAATGATGATGATAATGAGGTCAAAGTGAGTGTTGCACAGACGCAAGGAGGGGCGGATGCAAGCAGCACGCAGCAGTGCACCAGAACCACAAGGTGGGAGGTTTCCTCGGAGATAACAACACACAACAAAAGATACCGACACACACAAACACACAAAGTGAAATGCTAGATTTTTTGCTGTTGCAAATCAAAAAGCAAACTTTTCGTTGCACGCTCACTTTGAAAAGCAGATCTTAAAGATACATGTGAGTTTTCTTTTCTTTTTGTTCAGTATCTGCACAACTAAAGCTAATTATAGACTCTACTTGCACTTGCTTAAAATAGACTGTTGGCTAGAAAATCTAATTTTCATGTGCAAAAGATTTATTTCTGAGGCAGGCAGAGGCCCAAAGCATTTTCACATTGTTCAGATCTGGAGTTAAACAGCAGCATTTTCATCATTTCCTGACAGATGTGTCATTTAAAAAACAGAGAAAGGCAAAATTTTAAGGTGTTATGGTGCTGATCATTATTGTAACTTAAAGTTGATTTTCCTGTTAGAGCTGTCCCATTAGATTGCTTCATTGGTATCTCTTCGATAAGTTTTATCTGTAAAAAATTATTCATCAAGCAGCTATCTTATGAGCAATTTTTTAAACTATGCAATATCTCACTGGGATCCAGCAGCACTACTTCATAAGTAGGGCATTTTTAAGGGATAAAAATAAACCTAACCTGATTAAATTGCATGTCTGGTAAGACATTATTTGTATTTAAATTGTGTTGCAATCTGTGCTCTCAGTGGTTCTAAAATTTTGGCTCACTGACTGTGTAGCATAGCTTTTATTGGAGGCAAAGAGCAGCCACACAGAGCCACACACATCTTCTGTCAGCTTTTGGATTACATGGGAAAAGACTCAGGATTTATGTCATGAGTTTGGGTATTTTGGACTTTGTCCTTGGTTCGTTCTTCCAGTTTGAGTTTACTTGTAGTTTTGTTGATCTTGTTATCTGAGTGAAGTCTTGTGTCTTTACTTGAGTTTCTAGTTTTTTCTTTTTCTTTGTTCTAAGTTTATTTCCTCTGCTTTGGTTATAGTTTCAGTTTCTTTAGTTCCTCATGGGTTCTGTTTCCTGTTTTATTCTTATGATGGCCCTCAGTTTCCTGCCTGATCCTTCCTTCTCTCTTTCACCTTCAATTCTGGTTATCCTCCCCCCTCAGTACTTTTGCATCCTTGTCATTCCTCCACTCCCTTCACCTGCGCTCACTGTCCTCAGCTGCTTTAATTCAGTAATCACTCTCCCCTGATACATAAGCTCTCCTAGTTCAGTCTTTCTTTGTCGGATCCTCATCTGTTGGCCTTCCTTAGTAAGTCTGTTTGTGCCTCTGTTGTGTTACTGATGGCATCTGCCAGCATCCGTCGTCTCTGTTCCTGGTCTTTACATTTGATTTATTGTTCCTGGTTCCCTTTGTTTTGTTATTTTTACATATCCCTCATCCTCTGTGTTTTAGATGTTTAGTAGATTTTTGGTTTACATTTGTGGTTTGTGTAGCTTTGGCTTTTTGGTATCTTTTTTTTTTATATGAATGAGTTTAGTTTTTCTCCAATTCCCTAGTGACCATGTCTGGGTCCTTCCACGTTTCAATTCCAACCGTGACAATTCGGGACTCCATTAGACTGTCATTTACATACAAGTAAACATAATGCAGGCTGTTTAGGCGGCTCTGTAAATGCAGCATCACCGACTTGTCTAATGATGCAGCCTTTATTTTTGACAGGAATGCCAATAGTCTGCAGTGTAAGCTTGACCTTATCCAGCAATCTG